TGAAGCCTATTGCTGTTGCTCTGGATATACTCCAGAAGAAAAATGCCACAATATCTGATGCCGTAGAGCAGTGGAAACTTTTGATAAGTTTGAAGAAATTTATCGTTAGAGAAACTACAGAAGTTTCAACATCGCTATAAGCAAGCTCTTACACCTCATCACTTTATTGCTCACATGTTAAGCCCGGAGAAACAAAACTACGCTTTAACTCCTGAAGAGAAGAATCTGGCTTTGGAGACTATTAGTGAGCTTCATGGAAACTCGGGATTGTTGCCACTAGTTATTAAATTCAACGCTTGCTGCAGTCCTTTCAAATAAATTATGTTTTCTGATGAGATGCTGAAAATATGAACGGACTTCAGTGGTGGCTATCACCGAAAGATGAACCGGAAATTGCGAAACACTTGCCCACTATAAAACAGTTTCTTTGTGCAACTGCATCGTCTGCGTCTGTCGAAAGGATGTTCAGCACATTCGGATTTGTTCATTCGTATATCAGGAACATATTGGGAATCGAAAAGGGAAGAAAATTAGTGTCCCTCTTCAGACTTTATAACGAAAATGAAGAGAAAGAGAAGTGATTTCCGTTTTAGTATTATTGAGTTTACCATTAATACCGATTAATTTTTAAGTTCACATGTACCGTTTTCTATTTTCATTTTCATTTTTTAGAATTATTTGTGTTCTGTTTTATATTTTTTGAGGAGAAATATAAAGTTTCTTGAAAAAATGAACTTTGATTTAAATCGTGATTTTTTTCCAAAAAAGTCAGGTGATTTAAATCAAGCCAACCCTGATGCAAAGTCAGACCTTACCTTAGCATCATCTAAAGGATTTGGCACTAGCATGGGCACTGGTACAGGCGAGTGGGTTCCATGAAATTTCCGTCGCTGCAACAACCAGTTTGATTCACTCTCTTCAAACAATGAAGAACTTGATCTGAAGTACTCGGCATCGTCTTGCTCGTTATCCGAATCAAAGTTATCGACCTCTTCGATATCCTGCTTTATCTGCAAAGGTCGCTCTTGAAGTGACTTGTTCAGAATCCATCCAGGAAACTTACCATTAGAGTAACTTTGTCCAGATAATTCCTGGAGCCCCCACTCGAGTCGCATTGAAGCCATTCCTCCAAACTGGACGCCGATGTGGATTCCAAATCAGCGGTTTTCCACTTGCTATCCAGTGTTTCTTCTCCGAAGAAATACTCTCTGTCATCTTTGTGCCTGGATGACGTTGAAAATCTACTGCTCGCCACACTATCTGCAGAAGATGATGGAAGGTTGTTTTGGCAACCGGCAACTACCTGAAATTTGGTTGCTCATCAAAAGTGATTGGCCTGAAGAAGTGCACGGACTTTTTTACTTTTCGAGCGTTTTTTTATTTTAATGCAAACGATCGCCATGTTTGCTCCAGATAACGCCTAAACTGGGCTAAATCGACGATAGTTCGCACTGGGGTAATTGGCTTAACTGTAATGGAAGCCGTGCAAGTCTAAGCCGAATGGAGATTATTCAACAAGCATTTTTCTAATTTCCGCTTTTTTTATAAATAGGAAGATAAATCTACCTTATTTATAATGGCTGTAGCCAGCAGGTCCTCATAAGATCTATTTGTAGTTTCTTCAGCTGGAACAGATGGATGGGCGCGAGCTTTTTCTAGCAGAGGAAGATTTACGGCTTCTTTCAGCAGTTTTTCGATTAATTGCTTCAATGCTGCGTGCGCTGTACAGGGTGACTGCCCAGTTACTGGCAAATCTGCAAAATTAAATCACAAATAATGATTGTTGCTACATTTCACAAGATTCAAGCAAAGAGCAACAGCACAATTTTTTTTATAGATGTGTTGAGAAAAATTAATGAATCACAAGTTTTCAAATCCGCAAAATCTGAGGAATTGTAGGCACTCGATTTATGTGAAAGGTTTGAAAGCTATGTTGAGCTGGTGGTAGATAAAACTGTTTGAGAAGAATTGTTCGACCACTTTATGTATTATAGTACATTCATATTAAGGTGCATATATGGAAAATTTAGAAAATATTCCAGTTGATTGAGTCTTCTCAAGGGTTATTCTATGCGAAGCTTGGACATTTCGGACCTTCTGATTTCTATGCAAGTGGAAATAGAAAATGAGAATCAGAGAGCAACTAGAAGGCAAAGCTAAACCTATAAGAGATTTAAGAGAACAATATTTTTCTCAAAAAGAAATAAAAAAGTTGAAATAAAAGATTTTAATAAAAATAGAGATAAGCCGAATGGCTTTTTTCCTTGTGAAAACATCAGATTTCTTTGCGGAGAAATCAAATAAAAATTAAATTTGTCAAAATCTGTGTTCTTTCAAGAAACATATACTGTTTTTTGCATTGTTTAATATTCAGTAATTTTTTGTTTATTTTCTAATCGCATTTTTCAGATATTTGCATCAATAACAATTATGTTTTGTTATTTATTGCGAATTAGGTGCATATTTTTATTAAACATCTTATTATTATACATTATTACATTATCTTCAGCACACCTTCACGAGCACACATTTACTCTAAGTAAAATACAGAAAATCACTCACAAACAATGAAAGAAAGAAACAGATAAGACACTAACGTTTATAGCAAAACTACGTTAAAACATGCAAATCTAATTGTACATGCGAAAATTTACAATTTTTAATTTGAAATATTGCTTTTATTTCTAATCTAAATACCAGAAAGACACACTCTACACACGAACCCTCCACAATGCAAAGTACAAAGAAATTGCATACGGAAGTGTTTATAAAAAGTTTAAAAAGCCAATTATCTGCTGTGATAGTGATGAAAATCATTTAACTAAATGCATTTTTTTCTGTCGAACAATTGGAAGCTTAAAAACACTAGAAAATGTGAAAATCGAATAAAATGCAGTAGCAACTTATAATAAATGGAGCTAAAACCTTTCACAATAAAATAAGCTAAATATTGTGAAAGCCTGCCTATAATGGTTCGAGCGCAAGTTCGTCAAAATAAGAAATCATACGCGAAATTCAGAAAATTGATGTTTTTACCAAAGCAAATTATGAACAATAAATTTCCCGTTTTTTTCAAATTGAAACAAATATTTTTCTAGTTTCCTTATATATTTTTCAGTCTATTTTTACTAGTGGTTTATATTTATTTTTGTAATCTTCACTTTGCTTATACGGACCCTCGAAAGCTGTTTTTATAGCTTACAGTTCAAATTAATAAAACTTGACAATTTTTTACTTTGAACTGTTAACAGCTATTAGGAACCAGAAAAAGGGTACAAAACGTGGGAGGGAAATTTATCGGAGGAACAAAATAAATCTAGATAAAAGTTTTGAAATATGTGTGTATTTTTTGTTGCATAACCGAAAGTAAATCAATTGGAATTTAGTATAATAGTATCAATTAGAATAATAGTAGGTATCGCATTACTTTAAAAAAAATACACATAAATCTGTAACTCTAGTATTTGTATTATGCCTGTTTTCGTTTTGTGAAATTTGTGTTATTTTATTGTCGAAGTTACTTTTAAATATTTTTTTGTTTCAGTTTCTTCAAAGTATTTTATTAAATCATGCACATGGTAATTTCTCGGTCATTAATCAGTTCCTCAGTACATATTTTCAAGAGGCTCACACCAAGGAAGAATAGAATTGTAGTTAAAATTATATGATTTTATTGCCTAGATTTGTGTATAAAATGTTCATAATTTTCCGTATTAAAGTCATTACTGATGCTGAATGGCGCATCAGTTACCAGGAAAAGTTTCGTCAGTATTTAAGAGTTTTTCACTGGTTGTGAGAAAATGTTGTTATTCATCTGAATAGTTCATAAATATTCATCCAGCTTACCCAAAATAACTTCGATGAAGTAGTAAAACGCATAAAGTCCCACACAAAACAGTACATATAGTGTAACCAATACACTAACCACCACTGTGAGTAACATTTTTGAGTTTATACACTAGGTTATCACATCTGAGTATAGTTTACTTGTGAACGATTAAAAGGATTACAATTGAGAAACAATACATCCTTATCTGTGTCCAAGATTAGAAATTATTGCCAACTACATCGCACTTTAATGTTTGTTCAAAAAAAAATTGCAGAAGGTTTTAGCTTGGTAAAACACACTTATGGACTTGCTACGTCAATAGCAAATTTGTTCAATAAACGTTTAAACACCAGCGAAAATGCTATAAACCGAAGGTTGTGGTGCTTTAAAACTGTATTCACGTACCAAAAGTTGCAAAAAAACATACATGGATATGGAGGTTTGAAATTGTTTAAACATATTTTCAGTCCCACTGATTATAGGTAGTAAAAATGTCCAAGATATCGAAAAGTTGGTCATTTTACATGGGCAAAACATGTTAGTTGCCAGTCTTTATATTTATTTATACAGGGTGATCATTGGAAAGCGAAACAAAAGCATTTTTGGATATTTTGAAATTTATATTTGAGAGGGGCACATCATAAACGTCGCTAGAGCGAAAGGCAGCGCTAGAAGAGCATACGAATGTACATTTCTAAAAACCCGAAAATGCCTCTGTTTCATTTTTCATCGGCCGCCCAGAACCACGTTTGTTTCGTAATTTCTGCATCGAAATATATAATTAAAGCTGATGGATTTGCTTTTGTTAGGTTTGTGGTTCTTATAGATATAAACACAGATATGTAAAAAATCAACTATTGAAAATCGAATCGCAGTTTTTTCAATTATTTTTGAATCTGGCTTTCCAGATTTTTTTGGAAAATTTTGTAATCAAATAAAAACACGTTAAGGGTATTTTGAATAAATTTAATCAGTTTACACAAAAAAAATATATATTTCATGCTTTTGAAAAGTCGAAAACTGCTTCAAAGTTAAAACAGTGCAATTCGCTATAAGTACTGTGTATAGATTGATTTTAAGCGTTGATGCACTTCACCTTGATTTCCGACCTCTGGCCTCGCATGTAAAATTTTTTTTAGAAACATGCTTTTAAAATACTTGAACGTTTGCCTACGTGTATAGTTAAGGAAACCAGCATTTTCCACTAATTTTTCTTGCAGTTTAATCACGACGTTATAATTACGATACAAACAGAATACTCAGTACAAGGTTCAAGATAAAACGCACAAAAAACTTATAATTCAACTATTATTGAAGCCAGATAATATAAACGGTGATACTGTGAGCAAAGCTTCTTCTAAACCTTCCAAATATTGTAAGCTTTTTTTGAACATTCTTTAATTCAAGTGAATAAAAACTACTTTAGTTTCAATAAAAATTTGCAAATTAAAGTCAATTCATTTAGATTCCGGATTCTATAATTTGTTTACTTCAGTATGAAGAAAGACTCCCTCGTTTTTCGGAATTCCAGTCATTTGCTGCTCAGGCATACTTAGTTACCGCTATTTTTAGTGAGTTTAATTAAATTTATACATGTTTATGTTTGAAACCTTTTTTTAATAGTTTATTTTCGTGTTTTGTCGTGTTTTTAGCGGTTATGAGCAAATTATCAGTTTTCGATTAATAGCGGAATGACATGAAAACGCGAAAGTAAAATAATCCAATAAAAGATACTACTAACAAAAATACCCTTCAAAAGAAGCAGCTATTAAAATGTGAAACTTTTTGATCCCCTAAATATGTTTTTATTAAAAATCACTTTTGGATCTTCAACTGAATGTGCAATTTTGACAAACAAAGTTACGCATATTTCACAATTTTACTTGTTTTTTAATTTTTGCATATATCGTTTTGAATAAATTAAAACAAAATTTATTTAAAATTGGAAATGTTTTCAATTTTTTTTTAAATACATCAATTTTTGTGCATCTACTTTAGTGCAATCTGCAACCGAACGATTTTAAACAGGCGTTTTTATACGCAATTGCGTTCACTGAAGAAAAATTATGGTTTCTGAACTCCTGAGTCACTTATTCGCAAAAATTTAGTTATTACGCTTATTATATGCTTCTTGCAGCTGCATCTGTTCGGCGCGTTCAGAATAGTAAGTTTTATAAAATCTATGCATCCTTAAAGGATTTTTATAAACACTCATAATGTTTTTTCGTTTTTTAAGTATTTTATTTATTAGTTGCATTTAGTTGACTGCAAGAATTAGTTAAACAAAAATCAAGTTTAAATTGAATTAAAATCTGCACATGAAAAGAAGAACTTTGACAAATATCCAGGTTTTGTCGACAAATAGCCAGAGGAAGAAAAAGATCATTTATAATATAAATTGTTGTTAAGAGTAGAGGGTCCATGCATCAGGCGCGCCTAACAAATGCAGCAACATGTGATAACCACGCTATTCTCAATATTCTGGAGCCAAATTCATTTAGTTGAGCGTTTTTTTCTGAGCAAATAAGTTCAGTTTGGAAGAAATTCTCCTGGTTTGTTGAAATTTCAAACATTCTTTCGCAAATATATATTTTTTTTTTTTTTTAAAGGATTTTTTCGCTGCATCTGTTCAGCTCGTCCATGGTTTTCAAAATATCTACATTGTTTTTATTTATATATTTTTTTTTGTTTGGTGATTTGTTCCTAATTAAGTAGACGCCTGTAATTAGTTAAACAAGCAGCAAATTTAAACTAAATTCATTTCCACAAATTAAAAAAGGAAAACCATTAAAATATCAGCGGTCGATTACACGCAACAATAAATAATTAAAATTGAAAAGTTGACCAAAATAAATCATAATATAAATTGTGATTAAAGGTAAATATTTCATACATCACCTATAGTCGGCGCACTTAAGAAATGCAGCAGACGCGTGCTAATAGTAAACGTTTTATGCATCAATTATAGTTGGCGCGCCAAAGAAATGCATTCAGCACGTGAGCATCGCGTCTTTTTTTTTAATAAATTGAGTTCACTCGAAGAAAAATTCATTGGGTTTGTTGCAATGTAAACATAAATGTTAAAGCTCAAGAAAGATTCCTTGAGTGTTTTTTTACCTCCGATTTGTTGGTTTTAAATTAAAACAATCCCCGACGCAAATTAATTTCTAAAATTAAAAAAAGGCAAAAAAGTAACTCCTGCTTCTTATTAGAATCTAAGCCAAAAAAAGTGTTTAATAACATTAATAGCGATAAACCACTTGGCTTGCAAAACAAAACGAGGAAAGGACTAGAGATACATTGAAGATGTGCGCGAAACATCCTTATTAGATATATTAAATTTTTCTAAATAGAAAAATTAGCAAGGAGAATAATTACACAGCAGTATAAACCTTACTAAAATTGACTACTCGATATTTGTAATCCTTTTAAAGGCACACCAACAACACACTCTGATTTTCCACTATAGTTCACAGAAAAACACGTAAAACTACCCGCGACGACTCGCACTTAAAAAATACGGCTTCATCTGCTAACAACATCAATCGAAATTCACTTTTACCATATATGCTTAAAATGGACTTCATCCTACTAGGTGAGTGAGTTAAAAGATAACGATGGTCAAGGTACGAGGAGCGGTTAGCAAAAGCTACAAGGTTGAGATACACCTGAGAGCAACGAAAAATTCTACAGGATGATTTAAATGAGTTTTGCAGTTTATGGTGGAAAAATTGCCCTTGCTTGGCACAACGATTGCACTACAATAGCAGAAGCCAAGAAAGTATGTATTCTCGCATATAAAATTTAGCGGTTTCTTCCATCGTGATGGCATTTCTCATTAAACAATTCGGCCCACTTTTTGATCATGTTGTTAAAGCTTAGATAAAGTGTTTTTCCATACCAATACGAATGCCATTTAATTTGGTTTAAAGGCCATAAATTCTTGTCACCGTTATCCACAGACAAAGCTGATAATCCAGGTCATGTGATTTATATATCTATATTGATCTAAAGTGTACTTATTGTCTACTCGCAAATACCCGAGGATTCTAAACTGTGTGTTTTTTCCTGCATTTTTTTTATTTTAAAAAAAACATACTTTGGACAGTAGATTAGTATGTGGAGTCTGAAGGTGACCTGGTAGATTGTGGACTAAGAGTCAATAAATATTAATAATCCCCAATTTTTCTTGAAAAAAACAAATGTCAAGAATTAATACGCAAAATGGTTAGTATTTAATAATATTAATAGATGAATATTTCCGGTAATAATTGAATATCACTCCCTATTTTGCCTGGAAATTATTGGAAATTCTACCAGAAGAAACGGGGTTTTAAAGAATCCCATGCTGACTCGCATGTAACGCTCTGTTTATTTTATTTACGATTGTGCGCTTTCCTTTTCCAATACAAGCGAATTTCCAATATAGCCTTATTCCACTCATCCACTTTGCTTGAAAAGTGCGTATTGCGTAAGAAGTTTTTCAGTTCAAGTTATTATTTTACGGGCACTCAACCGAGTTTCCCATAAATTTTAGGAAAAATGTAGTTTTTGCAATATGAAGCCACCTGAGAACTTCTTCATCTAAATTACCGTTTACCGTTTAAAAAGTAACACTAGAGCGATTGATACACTTCACTCTTAAAATCTGATAATATTTGTTATTGCCGTTTTCCTGTAAACGTATCCAGACTTTATTTCTTTATATCTTTTTCCAAAGCTTTAATAGCCTTAAATACTCAAAATTATCATCATTAATTTGTAAAAAGTTTTGCGTGTACAGAAAATCGTCTAAAAGACGAAAAAGAAGGATAATTTGAATGGCAATGAAAAAGGTTGAAGATGATGCTACAAGCGAAACGTTGTGTTAAAAAAATTACGACATGGGAATCTTATTTATATTTAGTGCGCTATTCTTTTCTAATACACGCATGTTTTTAATATCGCTTTGTTCTCCTCATGCGTTTCGAGTACATTTGTGTTTGCCATTTTGCAGACTTTTCATTTCCAATTCTCTATTTTATAAACTTCAATTGCGTTAAATATTCAGATATATAGATAAAATATTTTAAAAAATTTCTTAGAAAATAAATGTAATTAAATAAAACGATATATTGGGTATAAAGAAAATAATCCAAAAGGTGGAAAAGTTCAAATATGAAGTGACTGAAAATGGAATAAATAATGTCGTGCGTAGTCACTTTTTTACCTTCGCTTTATTTTATTTATATTTAGCATCCTTTTCTTTTCTAATACGCGAAAGTTTCTTACATCGCCTTGTTCCGCTTATACATTTGCAGAGCAGACTTGACTTTACCGCTTTATGCTAGAGAACTTTTTCAGTTTAAGGACATTTTTGTTTGTCATTTTTCCTTCTCTTAGCCGGAGTTTTATTTAAAATTCCATTTTTTTTGGAAGCTTCAATAGCGTTAACTACTTAAAACTTATAATATATAT